CAAAAACATTTACAGGCTTGGAAACCCTACAGGGCGGTTCTACTTTGTCCTATAGGGTTACTGTGAGTTGGAATTGAATCAACAGCGATGGGTTTTTTTTTCTTTTTACTTTTTGTTTTTCATGGATATTTTACTAGGAAGCTGATGCAAATTAGCTTGGACTACAAGCCAACATCATTTTAAACCTGAAATATCAATGTTTCAATCTTGGATTTGGGTGGAAATATGGATTTTTTTAATGCCAAAATGTAGTAGAAAGAGATACAGTCCGAACTCATCCACGAGATGACAGTACTAGAGACGCAGGACAAGATATATGTACATACGTGCATGAAAATTGATAAGCTCTTCAAAGATAGGAGAGAATTAGAAACCAAAACTAAATTTTTAGAAATAACAAATTTTAGGGGACAAAAAAGGAAAATATGCCAATACATTACTCTGTTGATTCCATTTTCCTTTATCTCCACTGTTAAACTTTATACATGCATAAATAAATCAATATTCAGCCAAGTCTTCATTATTCATTTAGCTATACATGATGACCTGGGCTTTTCTTTTCTCACAAATGTTCCCTATTTCTGGCCAAGCTGGGGAGAAGTTAGAATCAGAGTCAGGTAATGAGTAGACTTCTAGTTGTTTATGAGATACGTCTTAAAAAGCATTCTGAAATGTAATACATCATTTTAAAATTTCTGCTCTCTTCACAGGTACTGCCATTTGTTGAAAGCTTAATAAGTTTCAATCACTGTGCTAAGTCCTTTACAGGCATTGTCTCATTTAGTCTTGACAACAATTGTTGTTGTTGTAATGTGCCATGGAGTCGGCCCCAACTCATAGCGACCCCTCCTTGGATTTCCAAGGCGATATCACTACGGAAGTAGATTGCCCAACCTTCCTTCGAGTGGCTGGTGGGTTTGAACCGCCAGCCTTCTGGTTAGCAGTCAAGTGCCAATACTATGGGGTAAATATTAACCCCATTTTGTAAGATTTAAATATTGTTAATCTACAGTCAAGAAAATGGTATATTACAGAAATTCTATTATTTACCCAAAAACCAAAACTAAACTCACTGCCATCAAGTCAATTCTGACTCATAGCGACCCCCATTGAGTTTCTGAGGCTGTAAATCTTTTCAGAAGCAGCCTGCTTCATCTTTCTTCTGCAGAGCAGCTGGTGGGTTCGAACTGCTGACTTCTTGGTTAGCAGCCACATGTCTTAACTACGGCACCACCAAAACCAAACAACATTAAACCCACTGCCATTGAGTCAATTCTGACTCATAGTGTCCCCCATTGTGTTTCCAATGCTATAAATCTTTATGGAAGTAGATTACTTCATCTTCCTCCCATATAGTGGCTGGTGGGTTTGAACTGCCAACTTTCTGATTAGCAGCCAAATGTCTTATTCACTATGCCACCAGAACGCCTTATTATTTACCCAAAGTTACGCACACACCAAAAAAAAAAAATAGTGGAAGAGTCAAGAATTGAAACTAGCCTGACTACAAAGCCTGTGCTGTCTTAACCTGGGCAGTTACTGCATCTGCACACACACATGCACACACACACATACATAAGCCAACTGCGTAAGTATATGAAGGGCTATAAGAGAATGTGATTGTTGTTATCATTTTTATGCAAAGCAAACGTAAAAGGGTTGTTTTGCAAACTATTGCATATACTGGTTTTCAAAACATTTAACAGATCTTCTGGAAATTTATTCATAATAGTTTTATGATACAAATAAATACTAGTTTCCATTATGCAACAGTCATGACTTTTTTTTTTAACCAGAAAGTATTGAAATATCTGATTATTATAAAACACAATTGTTTTTTCATTCAAAGAAGCAACATTTCTCCCCCATGAATATTCAAAAAATTTGTTACAAAATAATATAAATTCTTTATAGTTTTATAACTATATAGTACAGCAACACTTTTGTGTAGCTTTTAAAATTCTATTAATGAAGACCACATAGAAACATGGAAGATGTCTATCATGTTGATGTTAAAGATGGTATGAATATTATAACTGGAGTTATGTAAAAGTATGCATCCATATGGACAGGAGCGAGAACTGGAAAGTAATTTGCAAAAACAGAAATAGTATAAAGTTGTGAGAGTTTTTTCATTTTTCAGAATGTTCTTAAATATTGTTCTGTATTAAAGTAGTTTATATCCTGGTCAAAACTTCCTTGACTTTATGCTCTAGACAATTATGTTAAATAGACCAATAGGTAACCAGCCTGGGAACAGTAATTCAAAACGGAAAAGTAAGATCTCTTTCAGGTTTTCAAGAATTATTGATTAGCCTCTGCTGTAGGGAAGGCAGGTGCTCCGGTGGCACTGTTGTTAAGTATTGGGCTGCTAACCAAAAAATCAGTGGTTTATACCCACCAGCCACTCTATGGGAGAAAGATGAGGCAGTCTGCTTCCATAAGGACTTCAAGCTTTGAAAATCACGTGGAGCAGTTCTATTCTCTTATAGTGTTGCTGTGAAACAAAATTGACTTACTGACAGTGGGTTTTTTGGGTAGGGAAGGCAAGAGCCCAGGTGGCACAGTTAGAAGCCCTTGACTGCTAGCAGAAATGATTACACTAGCCCTCTTTCAGAAAAAGATGTGGCATTCTGCTTCAGTAAAGATTTGCAATCTTAGAAACCCTGTGGGGCAGTTCTACTCTGTCTTATCAGGTCACTATGAGTCAGCATGATAAGACAGAGTAGAACTGCCCCAGAGGGTTTCTAAGACTACAAATCTTTACTAAAGCAGACTGCCACATTTTCTCTGAAAGAGGTCACTATGAGTCAGCATGGGAGCTCTGGTAGCATAGTGGCTAAGACACTTGCCTGCTAACCAGACGGCTGGCGGTTCAAACCAACCAGCCACTCCCTAGAAGAAAGGTTGGGCAATCCTACTTCCATAATGATACCACCTCGGAAACCCAAGGAGGGGTCACTATGAGTCATCTGACTTGATGGCACAGGACAACAACAATGAGTCAGCATTTACTCCATAGCAATGGGTTTAGTTTTGGTTTGGTTGCAGTTTTCAAGCAGTTTTCCTTTTCTGTAACTATTTTGAAAAGCTGTTATCCTTGCACTCAGAAAGTATGATTGTCATTTAGATATTCAAGTTTGCTCTAAAGCTACTTCTTTCCCAAGAGGAACATTAAACTTGCATATCCTCAAGATACTACAACACTTTATTAAGTATATTATCACATCTAAATTCCCCAGCCAAACATTAAAGACTCTCAGTCATATGACTCATTCCCTAGTAACACTTCAATATAAAGTTTCCCTCATCAAGACTTCTGTGTACTGGTTAATTCCTCCCTTCTTTTGATGTACTTCATTTGATCTAATACTGTAAATTTTATGGATGAGATTACACATGCAGTTCCTATATCCTGATCAATTTTTTTTTTTTTTTTTTTTTGCCAACACAATTTCCTACTGGGTTATTTTATGACTTTGTATTTTTTTGCATTTGTGCCACCATTCTCATTACCCCTCTTTCAAAATATTCCACCATATTAACATACACTCAGTGCCCCTCAACTAACAGATCTGTTCTGGAAGAAGTGCAGCTGGAATGCTCCTTGGCAGCAAGAATGGCCAGACTCCGTCTCACCTACTTTGGTCATGTTGTCAGGAGAGACTGTTCCCTGGAGACGGATATCAAGCTTGGTAAAGTGGAGGGTCAGCTAAAAAGGGGAAAGCCCTCAACAAGATGGATTGATACAGTGGCTGCAGTGATGGGCTCAGATACAACAAGGATTGTAGGCTGGTGCAGGACCGGGCAGTGTTTCATTCTCTTGTACATAGGGTCACTGTGGGTCACACCAACTTGATGGCACCTAACAACAACACCATTGCCCCTCAAACTGAGAGGCTCCCTTGACCCCTCCCACCCACCACTGGTAACCACTGATAAGCTTTGGTTTATTTAATGTAAGTGAGATCATACAGTATTTTTCTTTCACGACTGACTTATTTTGCTCAGGGTTGTGTTTTCATCTCTGTTGTGGCATGCTTTAGAGCTGTTTCTCTTTATGATTGCATCATATCCCATTGTGTGTGTATACCACATTTTGTTTATCCATTCATCTGTTGATCTTTAATTTTTAATAAAATATTATATATAACAGATAAAGTTGATGTACCCTTTGTTCCTTTTCCCAGATCCATTCCCTTCCCTTCCTTTCTTAGAGGCAGCTACTATCATGAATCTGCGAGAAAGGGAGTTTCCAGTATATTTTTTTTGTACTTATTACTACAGATACATGTATCTCTAAACTGTTATCATATGTACTTTCAAAATTTACATACATGTCAGCATACTCTACATGTCTCTCACAACTTCCTTTTGTCATTCATGTTGTTTAGTTTGAGACCCATCAATGTTGTGCTTAAAATTTTATTCATTTATTTTAAATTTCCTGCAGCATATCAATTGCCTTGTGTTTAAAATTTACTTGAAAATGAAGTAACATTATTCCAAACAAATTTTGTGTTACCACAGCTCTGTGACTGGAAGGAAAAACTTGCCTGAAAACTTTCCACCATCTTTGATGAGGAGTGAGGTGGAGGTGTCTTTCAAGTGTGAATGTAAGCTCTGAGACAAAAGCATCTGGTCAAGGGCTAGGATAATATGTTCTGGCTGGGCGAGAGAATGAGGTGTGGTTTTAAAATACAATTATACTTAGGGCATATGCTATTTAAGATACTATTTCTCTCTCCCAGCAAGATACTGTCACTGTGGTGTTGATGGCTGTATTCTTCTGCTATGGAAGAAATAGAACTAGAATAGACAAACATCTCTTTGGCATTTATCTAAGACACAGATAAAGACTTGAGTCTCAACATTCTGTCTGTAGTTGGTGAACATTTGTTGAAAACCAACAGTGAAATAGGCACAGGAAACACAGCTGCTTGCAATATCATTCCAGTATAAGCAGGAGCCTTGCTAAGTTACTCTGTCTTTTATTAAAGGTCCACACACGTTCCTGTCGGGGAGGATCAAGTCCAGCACATGGAACTAGTTCAGGATCTAGCACAAGGATTTAACAAGAAGTATGGGGAGTTCTTTCCAGTCCCCAAGTCCATTCTAAGTAAGTAACAAACATATGATTGTTAAATTAGGGCATATATTAAGGAAAGGATTGGATAATAGGTGGAAGCTTAGAACTTTCTTGGGACTAAACTTGGCTTTCACGTGGACAGCCTTCAAGATTTGTAACTAGAATCCCCCTCTTTTTTTGCAATATAGGACTAGTAGACCTAGTTGTGTTATTGAACAAAATAACAGGAAGTTTGAAAAATATGAAGGAGACAAAAACCATAATGTTGCTGTTGTTGTGTGCTATCCAGTCAATTCCTACTCAAAGTGACCCTATGTAACAAGTTAGAACTGCCCCAAAGGGTTTCATAGGCTGTAATCTTTAGGGGAGCAGATCACCAGGTCTTTTCTACTGTGGAGCCACTGGTGGATTCAAACTACCAACCTTCTGGTTAACAGCCAAGCACATAACCATTGTGCCACCAGGGCCTCTTAAAAAATAATAAGAAAAAGATAATAAATATGTAATAATAATAATTTTTATTTATAAAGTATTAATGTGATTTATAAATCATTTATAACATCTCATTTGGAGAGCAGGTATTTTTCCCGATTTTAAGGATGAGGAGGCTAAAGCTTGGCAACGCTCTGTTTCTGAGTTTATATGGCTAGTTAGTGGAAGAGCTGAGCCCTAAACTGAGCTTTTCTGATTCCAACCCAGTGTATCTTGCTTTCGTTATTCACAAAAAACCAAAAACTGTAAGAGTGAAAACTGCTGAATCATAATCTCGATAAGACAAGAGGGAATTGATAATCTTCACAATATACCTTCTTAAATCTGCAACAAAACTGGAATTTTCAGTCCATCTACTGCATCTGAAGTATCAACTTCAGTTCCAAGGCTGTGCTAGTCTGGAATCTGCTTGAGGAAAGAAGCTATAAAGCTCGATCAGACATTTTGGTAGCGATACAAACTTGTGGCAGGGGCACAGATCACTGAACCTAAGCATTGTCCATCCTTATTAAGCCAACAGCATTTTAAAGAAGTATAACATGTGCCTAGAGTCAAATTTAGAAACATAAGACGAGTATTAGTTTCTGCATTATTCCAACAGTTCATACAAATAAATGTAGGGCACTTCATACATTGAAGTCAATCTTATTTTTAGCAGTAAGGAATATTTTAATATTTTGGCCTGTTATTATTTTACCTATTTCAATTGTTTATGCTTCTGTAATGGCCATAAAATATTCAGGCAATTATTAATAACACTAGTTAGGCACAGCTTAGAATGTTGATTCTATCTGAACAGTAAGCAAGTCACTTCACCCATGTGTGTGTATGTATGTGTGTATATGGGCATATACTCATATAATCACGGGTAAAGGAATGGAAGGATTGCCACAGGTTGTTGAAATTGGCTTTGGGGGTTGGTGATGAGTTAGAAGGGAAGCAGATAGAAGAAGGAGAGAGGGAAAGGAAGTAAAAGACAAACACTTTTAAAAGGTATGCACAACAAAAGCAGCATGATTGACAGGTTCATTCGTGTCAGATTATAAATTGTTATGTGTTTGTATGTATTAAAAGATGCGTGAAAATACAATCAAATAATAGTTACCACAAAGTGGAGCTGTTTCAGATGATCTTCACTTTCATGCCTATATAAATTGCTTGAATTTTTCACAACAAGCGTTTGAGATTTATATAATCAGATAAAAATAATAAGTCATTCAGTGTACTTGGTATTATTAAGATCTAGACACTAGCGTTCCTGTTGGGTTTGTTTATTTGTTTTTCTTTTTCTTTTTTTTTTTTTTTTCTTGGTGTGTATGTGTGTGTGTTGGTATTTTTACTTAGCACCAATGAAGAAGGTAAAATCTCTCCGTGACCCTTCTGCCAAGATGTCAAAATCAGATCCTGACAAACTGGCCACAGTCAGAATAACAGACAGCCCAGAGGAGATAGTGCAGAAATTCCGCAAGGCTGTGACGGACTTCACCTCAGAGGTCACCTATGACCCAGCCAGCCGAGGGGGTGTCTCCAACATGGTTGCCATTCATGCTGCAGTGACCGGACTCACTGTGGAGGAAGTGATCCACCAGAGTGCTGGTCTTGACACTGCTCGCTACAAGCTGGTGGTCGCAGATGCTGTGATTGAGAAATTTGCTCCAATTAAGAGTGAAATTGAAAAACTGAAGATGGACAAAGACCACTTAGAGAAGGTTTTACAAGTTGGGTCAGCAAAAGCCAAAGCATTAGCATATCCTGTGTACCAGGAGGTGAAGAAATTGGTGGGGTTTCTATAGGAACTCCAACTAATCACAAAAAGGCTTTTTTTATCATGTGGTCTATACCTTCCAGTAACGGCACCTTTATTCACAAGGAAAATATTCTAGTTGGGACACTTAATTTGGTATACCTGAGTACCGGTTTAGTTTGGTGAATAATGCTCTGTAGCCTTCAAATACCATGATGTTCTAAATGCCATCAAGAAAATGCTGTGACTGTCTGAAACTGCAGTTACTTGAGGTACACTCCTTGGCCTGAATTTATCTACACAGATGTGAGGGAGGTGAGCAGTAATATGGCAAATACTGATAATCACTTATGTTTCTCTCTGGAATATTTACTCACCCAGGTGCTTACTTTATTCCAACCCTTTTAAAAAATAAAATGTAGAGGTCTTAGACTAATAATCCTTGGGTCACCATTTAGACCAGTTTGTATTCAGATCTCAAGAAAATAAGTTGATTATTATAGTTCATCTTTCACTGAGGTGGTGCCTGCTCATTGTATATAAGCTGTTCAACTTTTCAACTTGTTTTCCGTGATACCACACTGACTGTTCTAGCAAGTATTATTTGTGTATTATATTAGTATTATTATTCAGAGATATATGAAAATAAACTTCTGAGAAGGTTGCATTATTTCAGTTTGATTTGTTTTGTTATACAAAAGGCCAAACTGCCAGATAATATTCTTAACAATTAATTCCTTGCATTTGTCTTTCACTTTAGTCTCACCAGCCCCTTGTGAAATATCTAGGAGAGGAACTGCCATTTTACACATGAAGAAAGGGAGGTTCACAGAGTACAATTATGTTGTACAGTATCACTCAGTAAGAAGCAAATCCAAGACTAAAACCCTTGTTCCTTATTCCTAAGAGTAGTGCTTGTTTCATCAGACAGCACAAAATCCTGAGGGACAACGTGTTTGAAACTCTACACTTTCTGACTTTAAAACTGAGTCCTGGAAATACAAGACCTAAACTACCAATAACTGTTTATATCTGTAACTCAGCCAATAGCTGTCTGCTGTAAACGTGGATTCAGCTAAGCTTGGTCCCATTTGCTTTTCAAAATCCCCCAGGTAGGTCCCAAATTTCTCTCCTTTTTGTGGAAATGCGTCAGATATTCTGGCAGACAACAATAAAAGTGAGGCCTGACAAATCCGATCGTCCCAGTGGTGAGTGGAAGCTTCTTACCTCACTTTGCCTCTGTCTCTCTAATAACAAGTCCCCATAAAACCTAACTTCTCTACACTTCCATTACCCACACCTGAAATTGGAAATATAATCCAGACCCAGAAATTGCTTGTATAGTTCTTCACCAGTGAGTACCATGATCACCATTTATCCATAAGAGATTAGTATGTTGGGCAAAGAGTTATGACCCATGATTCTTAGAAGGAAGTAGAAGAGTGATTCCTGTATCAAAACAGAGAGAAATTTACAACCGCATCACACAATCCAAATTAAAAGACCCTTTTTAGGATTTGGGGAATGAGACCGGTTTATAGGAAAAAGAAACATTTTGCATTTTGGATCCTTTCTTGGTATGTGTCAATAGTTGAGAGCCTCCTTGAGCTCTTTCTTCCAAGGCTCTTTCTCCTTCCAAAGGAACCCTATTATAATAACAGGAAAATGACAAAATTAAAGATGGATCTGTTGAATCAATTGCTTAATCTGTCTGTGTGTTTTTTATCCCCTTGTAACACATTTTTTCCAAAGAACTAAAGACACCATGGAAAGAATCTGAGAAAAGAAAAACAAGGTGACTTGTGATAACTTCATGGAGCAAAGCCTGTGCAGATATGAAGCTGGACTTGTGTACATCATGCTGTTATTCTTCAAAAGTGGCCCTAGGGCTCTTTGAGCCCCAAATCAGTCCATGATTGAGAGACTTACCCAATGACTTTGTTGTTGTTGTTGTTGTTATGTGCCATCGAGTCAAACCCGACTCATAGCGACCCTTCCTTGGGTTTCCGAGGCAGTATTACTACGGAAGTAGGATTGCCCAACCTTCCTTCTGAGGAGTGGCTGGTGGGTTTGAACCACCAGCCGTCTGGTTAGCAGGAAAGTGTCTTAGCCACTATGCTACCAGAGCTCCCCCCAATGACTTTAGGAAGTTGATAAAAGAGTCAAGGGCAGAACCTATAGCTATCTTCATATTCCTTCTACTTCCCCCTTTACAGGTTTCAGAGTAATCTTTCTAATTGAAATGAAGACTCAGAGACAAATCTAACTTGTGATTTTAACCTAACAAGATGGTTTTAATTGTCATTGTCCATATTTTTTTTAGAGAGTTGAAATAGTGAAAAATATTTCAGATGGTAATAGTAATGGTCAGATAGTTTGGTGCTCTGTAGCTCCATCTGCTGACAAACCCTACTTCAAGGCCACCTTGGAGGACTGGTCACTGAGTACACAGTGGTGGTGTCTTGCCCTTTGTAATGCCTCATAAAAATTTATCAAAATAATGTCAGAAAAATGAGCTAGATACTCATATTGTGTGATTTTTTTTTTCCCAGAAACCCTCCTGATGTACACCATAAAGTTGCCTATGATTAAATAATGGGAGCTCTGGTAGCATAGTGTGGCTAAGGCACTTGACTGCTAACCAGAAGGCTGATGGTTCAAACCCACCAGCCACTCCTTGGAAGGAAGATGGGGCAATCTACTTCCATAGTGATACTGCCTCGGAAACCCAAGGAGGGGTCGCTATGAGTCAGGACCAACTCGACGGCACATAATAACAACAACAACATGATTAAATAATAACTAACACCATTGAGTTTTCAGTATGTATCAAGCACCATAATACTAAACCATTTGCCATGGAGTCAGTTCCAACTCATGGCTACCCCATGAGGTTCAGAGAAAAAACTACACTCCAAAGCATTTTCAATGGTTGTGACCTTTCATAAAGGAACCCTGGTGGCACAGTGGTTAAGGGTTCAAAACGAAAGGTTTGTGGTTCAAACCCACCAGTTGCTCAGCGGGAGAAAGATGTGGCAGTCTTTTTCCATGAAGACTGACAGCCTTTACCACTGTCAACCACTTGGAGGGGGATCTATGTAGGAGATCCTTGATAGAGAGGGAGAACAATGTGGAACGAAACTCAAAGTCATTTGGAGAAAAAGAAGGGGGGGGTTGGACCAGGTTTGCTGGTCTGATAGAGACTGGTGGAACCACTGAGACTATAGCTCCTAGCTGCCCTTCAGGTCTGGAATTGAACCCACACCTGTGGCTTTCAGCCAAACAAAAGATGAACATGAGTTGAACATTTACCTCAGGTAGATACACTCCTTGGAGAGGACAATCATGGGAGGAAGAAGGGCTGTTTATGCACAGGGAGATAGCTCAGGGGGCAGGAGTGCATGGAGGGATGGACACAGGGAAGAGGTAACTATGGGGAGGAAGTGAGAGGGGAGCTGTTGCATTGTGGTAAATTGTAGTCAATGTCATGAGACAAAGTGTATGTGAACTGCTGTGTGGAAAGTGAATTTGCTCTGTAAACTTTCTACCCAAATCACAATTTAAAAAAAAAAAAAAACAGACTGACAGCCTTGGAAACCCTATGGTGCAGTTCAACGCGTCCTATAGGGTCACTGTGAGTGGAAATCAAGTCTATGGCAGTGGGTTTGGTTTGGGTTTGAAACTTTCAGAAGTAGATAGCCAGGCTTTTCTTTCCAACTGCCTCTGGGTGAATACAAACCATGGCAGAAACCTGCACAGAGTCTTCTGAAATGTATGGATACCCTGCACTATCCACTATGGTATGTGTCTATTTAAATAAAGGTAAATATTCACTTCTTAAGCAGCACTGTGGGTGGTATTGTTGATTGCTGTCCAGTTGATTCCAATTCATGGTGACCCCACGTATTAGAGTAGACCTGCTCCATAGGGTTTTCTTAGCTGTAATCTAATGGAAATCGATCACCAGACCTTTACTTCCACTGTTCCGCTGGGTGAATTTGAACCGCCAACCTTTAGGTTAGCACTTGAGCACAGTTTGTACCACCTAGGGATCTTTCATCAGCACTAGTCACCTTCAAGTGCTGTGGTAGTTAAGATTGTATGTCAACTTGGCTGGGCCTGGTTGAGTGGCTGGGCAGCTGGATGTAGTTATTTCCCATGGTGAGCTTGGTAATTAATTCCATGGTGGAATCTACTGGAGCAGCTGAGTAGCTGCTTTAGAGATGTGGTCTGCTTCCAGTGTATAAGAAGCAACTTTGAGGAATGTCTCCAGCTAATGGCATGCTTGAACCCTGTATGTAGTCGAGTAGTTTAGCAGCCTGCCATGTTGGCCTGCTGATCTTGGGACTTCATCTGGACTTGAATTAATGGCCTGCCATGTAGTTTGGTAACATTGGGACTGTGCCTTTTCACTTGTCAACCTTGGGTTTGTCAGCCTCAGCAGTTAGCAGCTTCCTGAGTGAAGAGATGCCTCTAGCTTCAGTGGGCTGGGAGCGAGAGGTAGAGCTGAAGCCCAAGGTCAAGGGGCTTTTACCCAGGCCCTAGAGCCTGGCACCTGGAACTCAGACTTCTAATTTCCAAAACTGTAAGAGAATAAACTCCTGTGTGTTAAACTCATCCTATTTGTGGTATATTCCTGTCAGAGTGGCACTAGATAACCAAAACAAGTGCCCATTAGCCACATCTTTAATACCATATTGGGCAGTGCAGATACAGAACATTTAACATTTATAAATACCCCACAGGTAGAAACAACCTAGAAACTCTGTTGTTAATCATCTTAAGCTCTCCTGTGTTAACTTTCAACAATGCTATTATATTGACTAGGCAAGAATTATCTTCCTTCTCCAGAAAGAAAATGGATGTAGAGCATTAGTGACTTTACCTCCAATACATAATTTGGAGTTATGAGAAATGCTTATGTTAGCCCTACTTTGTGAAAGGTACAGGAGAAATATAGTATTCCTACCATTTAGAAGAGGACACACAGAACCTAGCTAACAAATGCCGGGTGGCCTGGGAATAAGTGATTAACTAGGATGATCAGGGAAGGAATGTTAGAAATAGAATGGAAGAAAGGGCTTTCTGGTCAGAAACTAGGACACAGGCATGAAAGCATTTAGGGAAAAGAAAACCTATACAGTATGTGGGCAAAATGACAATGAAAATACTCAATTGAGCCATATGAAGTTATCAACTAAATGTCATGTATTTGATTATCTTTTCTAGTAAGAAAAATGGCAGTTC